AGGGACACAATAATTAGGAACTTAACGTGTATTTTATACACTTAACGTGTATTTTAATTATATCATTAGAACTTCATTTAAAAGTATCGAAATCTAAATTCTATTTTTACAGTCACCTTTTTAACTATTTGATTCCTACAATTTACAAACAAATTGTCTATTCCTTGATCCATGGGTATGTAAATCTCCCAAAAATTAGTTTGTCTAGAAAGATGTCGAAAATAGTATTAGTGAAGGTATTAGTGTTACAACTATAACTGCTGCCAAAGCGGAAATTATAAGTAACTAATATAATCCTAAACACAGAATCCAAGTGTAGTTGAGTTCAATGATTGGTAACTTGCTAACTTTGATTTACTCTTTAATTAAAATTTGCTGAAATTAAAATGTTGTATGATAAAAAGGTACAAATAATCAAAAACTTACCGAGTGATCAATTAGTCGATTAAACTCGTTTCTGGCCTGCGTCCAAACTTGCTTATTAAAGTTAAATGTTAGAATTTATAAATAATAGTAAAATGGAAATAACAAACAAATAAAACAAAATATGAAATAGTCACACCCAGATCTTCAGTCCCAGTTTCAAGATGTAAGTTATACCAGATAAAATAACCCCAATATACAAAAAAGATAACGAAGAACTGATTGAGAACTACAGGCCTGTTTCCACACTTTCAATTTTTGGTAAAATGTTTAAAAAGATAATATACAAACGTCTTTACAGCTTCTTGAATCTTGGTTAGTCAAGGAATCCTGAACGACAGCAAATTCAGATTCCGAAAGAGTCACTAAACATCACATGCCCTTAACTACTCAGTTTTTCACATCCAAAAGGCCCTACAGCAAGGTCTTCTAATCTAGGAATTTTTATTGATCTAAGCAAGGCCTTTGACACAATAACCACAAAATTTCGCTTATGAAATTTATAAATATATGGGATTAGAGGAGTCCCACTTAAGTTACTGGAAAGTTACTTGTCGGACAGTGGGCAGTGTGTGTCTGTCCTGGGCGAAGTATCAGACAGACTTCCCGTTCTCTATGGCGTTCCACAGGTAAGGGGAGCTGCCTTGACAAAAAAGCATACCTTGATAAATTTATGACATGTGCTAGAACTAGACCTGTCAGTGAACAGAATCTTACGAGCAAATTCTTTGAGAGAGAATACACCACCCAATTTTTGCCCGTCATGACATTGCATAATTTATATGCGTATCACTGCTGCAATGACTTTTTAAAGTCATTGCAGCATACAGTGAAGCGACAGTGGGGGTCACTACGTGATAAAATAAAAACCTAAGTCACGTGAAATTTTTGGGAGAGCGAATTAGTAAGAGCCGTACAATTTAGATTATTTTAAGTAGCTGTTGATAGTGTAACTGTAAAACAAAAGTGACCTAATCGTTTGCATAACTTCGATTCACGAGTTGTACTATAATAAAACTAACACTGCCATGGGGTGCTGTCGCGCTCGCGCCATTTGCAGCAGTCAGCAGCAGTTGCCCGCGTTGTAGCGCGATGCACTACTGGGTCGCGCGCGCATCAAATAATGCTTCTCGCAACCACGTATGCAGATCGGCGAGATGCGAAGGATTGACATCGTGAATCAATTGCCCGCGGCGCAGTAAAGACACGTATAAAACTGCTGTTAACTGCTGCAAATGGCGCATACGCGACAGCAGCAGTTAGCAGCATTTAGCAGCAGTTGCAGCAGTTAGTAGCAGTTTTTTGCACTTTAGTTTCCCTGTTCACGCTAGCCATGAGTCTACACGTACGCGTACTGCGTGACGAGGGGCGCTTGTTTCACCGCCTTCGGCGGTTGTGCGCTACTGCAAGCGAGATGGCTCTGGATAGAGCAAGTCTCCCTGTGTTCGGGGAATCAGACGAAGATCAACAGCCCAGCATTTTGACCTTCAATTTTTCATCCTTTAGAAGCCGAGGAGCCGAGGGAGTGAGATTCCCAATCCACCAACCCAACGCCTCGGCGGGTAGTTACCTGGGGACCTCAGGCTATTTTGTATCACGTGGTGACCCCCACGGTCGCTTCACTGTAGAGTTTCGACGATACAGGGGGAGCCGCGCACTCGTGCGCGGCGGGTCATACAACGTATGAAAAAGGCTATTATGTTCTTGAATAGAGATTCGGCGGAATGACAGGCTGAGCGCGGCCCAGTAAGGCGGGTAATTGATCATTGATGCACTTTTTATTTGATGGATGTTACTCGTCTAAATTTCTTCGCGGCGCGCCGCTTTCTTCTCGAAATATTGTGTTACGAAGTAGCGCGCGCCGGGCTAGTCCATTAATTGCTCTATCCAGAGCCCTTGCGCTTGCAGTAGCGCGCGCCCGCCTCACAGCGGTTTTCTTGACTTGTGAAACAAGGCTTGTTTTACAAGCGCGCCCGAATTGTCATACGTTGTATGACCCGCCGCGCACGAAGTGCGCGGCTACCCCTGTATTGTCAGGACGATAAAGGGTGAAACGACCGTGGGGGTCGCAACGTGATACAACGCCCGAAGTGGCGCGAAAGCACATGGTTAGATGAAATCCATTAACAATGGACACACCTTTTACAAGCAAGATCCACTTCGGTTTATTTGCTGTGAGGTGTCTCAGCTCCATGGGTTGGAGGTCCCTCCTTTAAAATGTCATAATATATACATAATCATGTCACGAGTTAAATGTGGTCACTAGCCAGTTATTAGCCGGCTACTAGTATTGACCATTGTTAATGGTCTGGCCCGGCGCGCGCTACTTCGTAGCATTTGCCATCGGGCAGAAGAAAGCGGCGCGCGCTTGGCGCTACTTCGAAGAAATTTAGACGAGTAACATCCGTCAACTACTAGTACTACTACTTGCTGGTTACTAGCGCGCTGGTTATGGCATGGTAATTAGGCGGTCAGGATTCTATTCTATGGCCTTTTTATTTTTTGACATGAGGTTTAATTTGAATTCTATGTATTCTATTTCTATGTATACTGTTTAAGACAGCTGAGATTTAATTTAATATTTAAGTGTCATTCACATATCATATATGACGTAATCAATCATAAGACGTAATCAATTTCGCCCCCCTCTCCGTTATCAGCTTTACATATAATATAGCTGTTGTGTTAAAATCACACTAGCGTTTTCATTTAGAAACCCCGTACCTCCCCCTCTGCAGTTATTTCGTAATTTAACGACCCCTAAGTACGAAAACGTATTTCCGATTATGCTGCTGAGCTATTTTCTGAGGTGTGAGTCAATTCACTTACTTAAGTGTGTTTATAACGAGATGCCAACAAAGTATTTCCAAAAATATTAGATGAGAACAAAGTATTTCCAATAATAATAGTACATATAACATATGAAAATATTAAACATTTGTAGTTCAAGTTGTAAAAATGTAAAATTCGTGTAATACTTAAAGTGAGGGATAAAAATACAATTTTGTATTTGCATGAATGTGTTAGGTAACCGTGTTAGCTGTGTTTGTATAATAATAATGTATATTGTGTTATAGGGACGGATATTTGAAAGATCAAATTTAACAATGAACTGAGATTCCTGGTTCCTCAAGACCATCGTTTTTCTATCGATTTTTGTAAAGTAATATCACACTGGATTCAATTACAGGAACCAGTGTGTGCTCTGTATTACATTTCTTCATTGCAATGTAACTGTAAGGTAATCCAAATTGCTGCGAGATTCAAACGGTAGTTTCGTGAAGAGATCAGGGGTGGTAGACGGCCAACTAAAATCATTCAGAAGTCAGAGCTTCGCATTAAATCAATACCGTTCAATCAAGCATATTAAACTTAATTGCACAGCTGCCACTTCTGAAAATGAGTTACTTATGATCTCTCCTAGATTATATTATGAAGCTCTATTGCAGCAAACAACGTTATACACACTAAAGAAGGATCACACTGGAGTTAATTACAGGGTCTTGTGTGAGCTCTGCGTTGCATCCCTCTATTGTTTCATTGCATCATAATGTGATGATAATCGCTGTAATTTCCAAACGTCTGCTGCGCAGTGTTATATTGTATTATAATTATAGTGCTGCTACATCAAGAGTGAAGAGTTGTAAATTCCTGCGGGGTTTTGTCAATGCCTTTCTGTTGAAGTTCTTAATGTGGGAGATAAAGTGCGGTAAGAACTCTTCCTCGCAGTATTTCCGACTCAATTGGGTGACACAAGGACTGCAACATACTTCTCAACTATCAAGTCGGTAAAGTTTGTCATACGTTGTATGACCCGCCGCGCACGAGTGCGCGGCTCCCCCTGTATCGTCGAAACTCTACAGTGAAGCGACCGTTGGGGTCACCACGTGATACAAGGTAAAGTGGTCCTCCTTTAGTAGCATGTAAACGTCTTGTTTGCGGTACTGTCTTTCTTTCAAGTTGTTCCTGAGACAGTTTGTGCAGCTTGTAAAGTGGGTATGCGTATGGTACTGAGGGCTCCGGAGTCTTAATAGTTCATAACGTGCTAAACTATTAAGACAGTTTACCAAAGGAGTACGTAAACTCAGTATCAATGACAATATTATAAATATCACAACAAGAATTGATATGATAATTCATAATAACGAATTGTTCTCGAAGTTGTCTCAACGCGGTTCATTGCATCACTTGGAGACTTAGATTCCTTATGTGGTTTAACTTCAACTCAATATATTCTAACAGAGGTAAACGTTAACTCAGGATTTATGTAAGTAATTATAATAATTGCGCCATCACGGGATTCATGTTAAACTTATCGAAATTGTACGAGATTTACTAACAATGAGGATTATATAAGGACAGCTGTTTACCATAATCAATAATAATTTTCATGGCTATATTTGTAAAGGTCATAACTTGTCGGCGTGAGACGAGTCCCGGACAAGCCACTAGGCTTTTTGTCATCGCATGACCAATGACATCTTTCCTTATAATTAAATTGCTTAAGTTTTATTATATAGCACACGTAGACTTAGAGATAATCGTGCTTTATTAAAGTGATAAGAGTACATAATTACATTTTAACCATACTTCGGCGGCATTTTGAGAAGACTAATAGCATGTATGTTAGAAAATTTTGAAAAGCTACAACTGTAAAATCAATCACTTCTAAAGCAATGATTGGCAAAAATAACCCAAATGTAACAGAAAAATCCAAAAGAGTAAGAATAACCGAACATAAGTGAATTGATACATGTTTTCTGCTTAACGTTTAAAAGCTTCTGCTCAAATTTTTGATGACTGCATCAGTCTTATCCCATAAATTTTAACCAGAGTTTATAAAAATAACTATAGGTAACGCACCATCACAGTAGGTTACAGAGTTTATCACAGTATCTTTGAGACCCTTCGTTTACGCTTTCTTTTCGATGACTCAGCGGAAACTTGCTCCCTGGTTGCAGAACCTATAACATGCTCCATGATATACTCTCTTTCAGTAACCTCTTCTCTTACCTGGTTCTCGAGTAAGACGATAGTAACCTTCCTTGAGGTTGCTAGAGACCGGTAGTAATAAATCATGAGTACAATCAAGATGATCAAAATAACGAAAACAGATGTGGTTTTGATGTTGTCGAGAATGTATTTTTGTACTACAGATTGGTCGATGACTCTTGAAAAAGAGTCACTGAACTTGGTGTCACCTCTAAACGGTCCACAAGTAGCACTCGGGTGAAAGTTAAATATGACAAGCCCCATAAAGACGAAGACAACTAGGAGCGAAATGAGGAAAAGGCAGTTAATCGTGAAGGTGCTTTGGTGATTTAATACTACAGTTTTCGGAGAAATCACATTTCTCAAAGAACTGGTCTTTTTCAAATAGAAAATGGCAATTACTTCAATGACTGAAAGAACAGGAAAGAGAGGAGAAAAGTAGAAGCCAGACCACCATATCATTTGCTTATGAACTAGGTCCAAGATTTCGGTAGCTATGTCAAATTCAGGCTTACCCAATCTCTCTCTGCAAAAAGAAATCCTGCTGACGAAGAGACTTTTCATATCGGCAATAAGCAGGGTAATGCAGAAAACGATGAAGTCGACTATGACAAGTTGGTAAAGTTGAGAAGCAATGTAATCCTCCCAGCAGTTGAAGAGAAGGGTGTTGTCCATGGTTTGCCACGGCTCTTTCCGTCCACCACTTGGCCCCACTGCGATGTAGAGTATGTAGAGGAACATGGAGATATTGAACAGCTTCATTATGAACATCCTCAAAAGAGTGATGCCTACCCTAGTACTCTGGAACCGATACATTTCAAAAGTACCCACGAACTGGAAGAATATAGGCAGTATAACATTACTTCCAGAAACTATGATGGAGGCAGAGTAAGTGCTCCAAAAGGCCGCTAGATGCTCTGTAATGTTTGCGTTTGTAATGCCTTCGAGATCAAGAGCCTCCAGTGGATCTTCTTGGACAAGTCTTCCGCAATGGTCAGTTGCATTTGCCCGAGACTCGCTGGAATCAGTCAAAATCTGGTGAATATACAAATAAACAGTGCCGATCATACCTGCTATGCAAATTGTGTTGGTGGCAAGTCTAAGAAAGAATATTCCAACCTTAGTCCAGAAATCCCGTTTTAGGGCCTCTTGGGCGTCTTCTGCAACTTTCTCCTTGAGAGAATGGACGATCGTTTCTCTCTGTCGATCACTAGCTTTCGTTTCATGAATAGTGTAGTCGAACGTCAAGACTTTGGAAGCGTACGGCTTTGTCTCAAACTGCTCAGCGGCTGATTTGTTGAATTGTTTAGAGAAATTGTAGAGCATGAAGAGGAGGGATATGAAAAAGTAAGAGATTCCGACTGTGAAATATGCTACAGAGAAGTGGTACACAGTCTTCTCCTCGTCTTTAGCATTTCTAGTTAAGTTTTCTGTTGGATACCATCCATAAAACATTGCAGTACTCTCCATCCACCCAGTTCCGGTCAGCAGCTGAAGCACTGAGTTAACAAGTTCGACATGACAACCAGTACCATTAACGAATCTAGGGTTGGTACAGTCCAGATCATCTTTGTTGTAAACTGTATCTTCGACATGAGTATGGTCGTGATGCTGATGAACCATGTACCCCCCTGGACCCACTATCAAACAGAGACCTAGAATCATGCACAGGACGTTTATCTTCAGAAGCCACACCATAACTTTGAAGTAAGTGCAAACCCCAGATCCAAATTGACCCTCAATTTGTTTGATCGAACCACCCCAGATCCTGACATAGCTTGAACTGTCCTTAACACTTTGTAAGGTTTCAGAGATGAACTTGGTTAATTTGAAGGAAATTTTTTCATTTGTCCCAAATCGCAGTCGAAGCTCCTGAAACCTGGTCTGTTGTCTGGTGAGTATGGACCGTCTTTGGCTGAGAGTGAGAGTTTCGGGGCCCGTAGAGAATGTTCCATAACTCTCCTCGGATAAATCTTTATTGTGAATCAGCTCTGCCTCTTCCTTGGATAGTAAAGGGGAAAGTTCATCAGATTCGGAGGATTCAAACTCGATACCCTCTTCGACTTTAAGGAAGTTATTTTTCTGTCCATCCATAAAGCTACAAATAGTTAAAGTGGGTAAAGCAACTGTCCACTAAAATAGTGTTTACGGATGGATATTTTGATATCATATACAGTGACAGTATATATAATATATATCACAAGACTTCAAAGTAAAATGTCTTCAAAAGAGTGACACAGCTTTAAACCAGCGAGATATTAATTGATACAGGGTATGAGGCTGGTCTGGGAAAATAACTTTAATGCTTTGGCATTCAACTCAATGTCTAGTTTGGGATGATATTGTCCGGGTATTAATTGTTCCTATTGTGCAGATCCGTCGTTCACATGATTTATACATTGTTAAAATCGTCTAAAAGACGAGTAGTTTTATTCCAATTGTACCAAGCAATTCAAACCCACGGTTATTAGGCCAAATATGTATCATTCGCTGCAAGGTGACAGGAGTACCTTCAGTGCACTAATGATCTAGCAAATTAAAATCCAAAATGAACTGATTTTGACTCATGTTAGATTTGAACAACACGTTCAGCAGATTTGTTAGGAACCAGAATTGTGTCACACAAATATCACAGCTCACACTTATGTTCACTGTTCAACAGGGCTCATATTATTTAAACTTTAAATATACAACGGCTGCACCAATTCTCTTTGGGTTGCTTTCCGATCTAGATCACTTTTATGCCTAAACTTAAAGGGCCTTTTCACAAGAATTTTCTTAAAATTTGGGCGAGCGATTTAGTAGGAGCGATATTTTGTACATAACAAGGAATGTACTATGACCCCATCTACAAAGTGTTCATAGGCCCCTAGCTACAAAGAGAAACATGTTAAAGTTCTCCAAGCTTATAGTTATTACAATACCACTAACTGTAACATCACTATGGATTTGACTTGGAAAGAAGGTTGACGGTATGTTCACTCAGCAACGCCAACATGGATCTTTGAGTAGACGCGTCCAGTTCATTTTTATGGTAACGATTATACCATATGGTCTGCTTATTCAAGTACTTTGTTCGTAGTGACGATGCAAGAAGAAGCCCGAAGAATCAGACAATCGATAGAAAGTACAGCAGACATAACAGATCATAAAGGAGATCCAGTAAATAGGCTAGTTAGGCTAATGCTTGGTGTGAACTTAATCTGCTTCATCATAATCACTTTTTGCTACATAGTTATAAATATCCAAACCAGGCTTTCTTCGCGGAGATCAGGACAGCATCACAACCCAGAAAGAGTGAGAGACACTGATAATAGGGCTGTACAAAATAAAATTGCTGTTATTGTTGAGACTGATTTCCTTTGCTGGGTACCATTTATTTTTATCATTCTGGGTATGCATTTAACCTCGGCGGTATGCATAACCTTGGCGTTTTTGATGCGATTAAATGGTATGTTACGTATGCGATGTCCGATGATAGCTCTTCCACTTAATTATTTTATCAACCCGCTGATATACGAAAAAACATTAGCGGAGTTCTTAGGCAGAAAGTTAGGAGGGGTAAAAAGACTCATCAGGCTCAGTACCTCCGCAGTTATAATTATATTATGACTTTTGTCTTCGATTGCAAGATTCATTCAGTCAAACTCAACAGCTTCAAGGAGTGAAAACATACAGAGCGGGAACAATGATCTAGATGTCAAACAGCTATGGAACCTCTAAGGGAACTGGAGGATCATGAACTTCAAAAGTATTAGCTGAGACAGTGAGACAGACAATTTTTGATACATGTTTCGTATCCCAAATATCAGAGATATTATTTTTCCTTCGCGCGCGAAAAGTGGCATGCACCGTATGTCAAGAAAATTTGTGAAACAAGGAAAAAGTGATGAACAAAAAATGACATTAATTAATTCACCATAGAAGTGTGATTTTAAACAACCATTATTAAGTTATGTGATTTACTTTGTACTATAATCTTTAATTAAGGTGAGTGTTGTTATCTATGAGAAATTCTGCGTTTAAAAAACTTTTTGTCACAACCTGCACCATACAACTAGGACGAAAGAAAATCGCGATTATTTAGGCCAAAAATCGCGGCGCCGCGGCAAGCCAAACTAGGCAAAATCGTGGCGGAAATCTCGAAAATCGCAGCGAAAGATAATGTATTTGCACGAATAGAATTATGAATTAGGGGTAGACTGGTTTTTAGGGTAATGACTTGCTAGTTGGTTTGTGTGTACGACTTAGAGGTGGCTACTTAGAGGTTGCGGCATGTTGCCAGCATTATGACATCCTTTGTATAAGTTTTTCACTATCACTATGTTCTTAGAAATATTTCCTTTACCCTCATGAGTTTTTGTCCATATCGTGTTCGCAAAAGTATGTTATAAAGTTATACTTATAATATAGATTAATTGTCTTAGCAATTGATTAATGTTCTCTTTGTTCCAAATCTCACTATACTAATAACAAATTTGTCGCGGAGAATGGGAAAAATCGCGATTCCGCACGTGCCGCCATTTCCTTTTGACCTTGGCACCATATGCTATGATAATGTTTAGAATTGGTATTTATTTTAAGCTAAATAATGTCGATCTACAAGTTCAACCACAGACACTACCTTTTATTAATGAAGTGAATTTGTGCTTTGAAACCAATGTAAATATCTGATAACAAATAAAACAGCTATTAGTTTAAAATTAAATTATTTGAGTAAATGTAGACATTAATGATTAAAATCACACAAATGCAATACAAATTCGTTACAATTTGCAAGCTTCCTCTAAACGGTGTCCATTAACAATGGATGAAAAAGGCGGACACAAACCAACTTTAATCTATTAATCAACTAATGCGACACAGAAAAACATCACAAAACATAATTGCAGCTATCACTTCTTACCTGGGCACCCCATGTAAATCACTTCTTGTTTTGTATTCTTAACAAATTCAGAAACAAATGAAAAGATTTTCGCACTACTCTGACTTATATTAATATTTGATATTGCTATTGAAAGGCGTGATGAACAATTATTTAATCTATTTGGGCGATACTCCAAGGACAGTCGGTTGGTAGCCATTGCATAACACTATAATAACAGCCATAATCACCCTTAACATTTTATAATACAAGTCTTTTCTGTTAGTGTTGTTGGATATTTTTACATATTAAAGTTCCCAGTTCGCAGTTCTGAGTGCACTCTTCATCACATAGTCTATCAGTTCAACTGTTACTTACTTTGGTTACTAGTTACAACACAAAATAACATGTTTCCCTCTTCCAACTGCCTTGTAAGAAAGTCGGGTAGAAAAGGTGGAAAATATGATTATAACAACACAACTCCATAGTTACTACATAGTTACCATAGATACACTGCTAGTTACCATAGTAACACAACTTCCCACTAAGAAGTTACCATAGGTACACTGCTAGTTACCATAGTAACACAACCTCCCACTAAGAAGTTACCATAGATACACTGCTAGTTACCATAGTAACACAACTTCCCACTAAGAAGTTACCATAGGTACACTGCTAGTTACCATAGTAACACAACCTCCCACTAAGAAGTTACCATAGATACACTGCTAGTTACCATAGTAACACAACCTCCCACTAAGAAGTTACCATAGGTACACTGCTAGTTACCATAGTAACACAACCTCCCACTAAGAAGTTACCATAGATACACTACTAGTTACCATAGTAACACAACTTCCCACTAAGAAGTTACCATAGATACACTGCTAGTTACCATAGTAACACAACTTCCCACTAAGAAGTTACCATAGGTACACTGCTAGTTACCATAGTAACACAACTTCCCACTAAGAAGTCCCGGGAGTCCAGCTCCAGGTGACAAGAACATTAGAACACGTGATCCTTCAACAAAATGTGATCTAACTGATTTGAGAGTCACACACAGATATCAGGTCATCTTGTTGGTCAGCAACTGAAAAATTACACAAATTAATTGCATTTTAAACAATCATATTAATTAACGACGTCCCAGTTTTTGCCAATCTATTCTAATCAATAATTATATAAACTTATAATTATAATTACATATAATTAGCATTTACCCTGTTCGCACTGGATGAGAAACTGTATAGCTTCGTTATTAAAAGCAGTGTTGCGAGGTTTCCTGTTGTTGTTATCAACAGACGTTACTGATAAGCCAGCCTTAACAAGAAAAGCTAGGGTTGGTATGTCGCCTGATACCGCGCCGTAATGTAGCACTGATCTGTTCTGAGGGAAGAACGGGTTAGTTTATTAATTAATCAACTAATTAAATCTTGAACAAACTGATTGACTCCTGAACTAACTAATTAACTCATGAACTAACTAATTAACTCATGACTAACTAATTAACTCCTGAATTAAATAATTAACTCATGAACTAACTAATTGACTCATGAACTAACTAATTAACTCATGAGCTAACTAATTAACTCATTAACTCATTAACTAACTAATTAACTCCTGAACTAACTAATTAACTCATTAATTAACTAATTAACTCAGTTGGGGAGTATTATATCTACACCGACAAATTGACATTATATTTAGTTCGCCATGTTATTAATCCCATGTAGCAAGCCAGCGACGATAGAATACACATGTATTTAGAACCCTTTAATCCTGCAGTCCTTGGTAAATTGTAGACAGCTTCTATGTTGCCCAATAAACTTAAGTTGAATAAAAAATCGATTAACTAATAAGTGAATAATTATCCGATACCTTAGAGTCGAGTAGTTTGGTGTCAGCCCCGTTGTTCATAAGTAGTGTTATCATGTCCACGTTACCGGTCCGAGCTGCAGTGTGCAGTGCTGATACGTTATCCTGTAACGTGTAATTCAATGAGTGTGCAGCGCTGATACGTTATCCTGTAACGTGTAATGATGAGTGTGCAGCACTGATACGTTATCCTGTAACGTGTAATGATGAGTGTGCAGTGCTGATACGTTATCCTGTAACGTGTAATGATGAGTGTGCAGTGCTGATACGTTATCCTGTAACGTGTAATGATGAGTGTGCAGTGCTGATACGTTATCCTGTAACGTGTAATGATGAGTGTGCAGTGCTGATACGTTATCCTGTAACGTGTAATGATGAGTGTGCAGTGCTGATACGTTATCCTGTAACGTGTAATGATGAGTGTGCAGTGCTGATACGTTATCCTGTAACGTGTAATGATGACTGATTAGTTGTGTTGTAAAATCCAATTAATTTCCCCCCATTCTTTTCTTGTCTGTCGGAACAGATTGTCAGAAAGCAAAAACAGCAGTGTACAGAGTCAAACGTGCCATTTTTTTTACTGCAAGAGGTGAAAATAGCGCATTGAACAACCCCAGAAACAATGGGGAATATATTGTCACAAAGGCACAATAAAGTTAAAGTTGTTAAATTCGTAAGTTCACAAACCTTGCAAGTGATGTTGATGTCAGAAACAGGGATCAGTAGTTTGACAGTATCAATATGGCCACGTGACACAGCCCTGTGTAGCGGCAACTCTCCTTTCTGAAAGGCTCCCTCGTTAGTTACTCTTTATAATACGTTCATTTGTAGGTCAGGTTCATTTTCCAATAAATTTCTCAATAGCTCAATCGAAATACCGTACTTGAATAATGAGGATAATAGATATCCCCATCGAAATGTTCACCTCGTTAATGACGGAGGGGTCGGATTTGTTGCTGAGAAGCATCTCTACACTTTCATTGTGACCGTTATATGCTGCTACGTGTAGCGGCGTGTTACCTCCCTGATAATATACAACATCCAGTACAAACAGTGCCGTTACAGCAAGGCAATGTTACAGCACTGTACTGTTATAGTACATCTTACTATATATAAAGCGAGACGATATATTATATCCGTGCCATTTTACTGACACCACGGCATCAACTTTAACGCGACTTTCCGCAAAAACCGTAAAAGATGTACAACTGAAACATTTTTGGCTGGGTCAAATGCTTTAATGGCCTCCAAATCAGCATGAAAAAATAAAAAATTGGCCAAGTAATAATGATTTTAGAACCGTACTGAATATTATATTACTTGGTATAGGTACTAAATAGCATTGCACTCACCACGTTTTGTCGTGACGGGTCAATACACCCTTTCTCCAGTAATAATTCCAGAGCATAAATGTTGTTGAATCGTGCTGCGTCGTGCATATAAGAGTCGTTTATCTGAGAATTAATGGTTGAAGCAATGATGGACCCAGCACCGCACACTACAGTCTACACTACACTTATACACTACACTACACTACACTACACTACACTACACTACGATACACTACACTACACTACACTACACTACACTACACTACACTACACTACACTACACTAAGTACACTAAGTGCACTACACTACACTACACTAAACTACACTACACTACACTACACTACACTAAACTAAACTACTCTCCACTACACACTAAGTGCACTACACTACACTACACTACACTACACTACACTACACTACACTATACTACACTACACTACACTACACTACACTACACTACACTACACTAAGTGCACTACACTACATTACACTACACTAAACTACACTACACTACACCACACTACACTAAACTACACTACACTACACTACACTACACTACACCACACCACACTACACTACACTACACTACACTACACTACACTACACTACACTACACTACACGGTCGTAGTGCACTACGGTTGTTTAATAAACCAATTGCTCACCATATCACCATCCCTAAGATGCTCACTGAACATGTTGGCTTTCTGTTTGAAGACATCGTTATAGCCCATCATTATGCAGTGCCTCATTGACGAGGTGACGGTCATATCTGCTGCCAGCTAAATGTTAAGTTAAAATAGGGTTGTTTACTCTAGTTTAAATAGGGTTGTTTACTCTAGAGAAGAGGCTTATAAAATCTATTCAGATTTCAAAATAAAGTATATATATATAATATATATATATATATATACAGTAATTATATATGGCGGTTCTACTGTATCGACTTACTAGAATTAAATCAAAACATATTTGAAAATTAAAAAGGCCCGATTGTAATACCGGTAAAAAAAAATTTAAACGAACTTCTGTTCAAACAGAAATATTACTTAGGTAGGAAAATTGTATAAATTTACAAGCCAAAATAAACAGTATATTCATTAAAAACCATCGTTTACAAACATAAATATGAAATATTAAATATGAACAGCACTGCTAATAAAATGACACCCTATGAAAATGCAAGAATTTCTAAAACAATGAATCTTAAACTGTCTAAAAAACGCATAAAATATACTAAATATGCTAAATAGCATGCAAAGTTTTTACTATTGTCTGATATCACACACTACTTCCTAAGAGCTAGAATATTCTTGCCGTGTACAGCGAATATACCATCTTCACAATCATGCGATTCCATGGAAAATACAGGACCTGACAGAAGAACTGTGTCATCGGGCTTTATAAAACTAAGAGTTCCGGGATCCACTATCACTGCTTCGTTGTTTTCCGTCGGCCTCAACAGCACACAACCTAGGTGAAGTGTCGTTTATTTACTCGCGTTTGAAATAAAATCAGATTTGAAGCCGGCTACATGGAGATCGTTGTATCCAAACAAGAAAAATAATTTCCCAGTACTTTAATTCCGAATGGAGAGTAACATGATCCACAGTCTCACTCTACCTGGAGCAGGAATAAGGGCTTGTTGTTGAGAGGCGAGCCCTCCTTCTCTTTCCCCCCATTTAATAAAGAAAGAGACCATTTTGTAGGTTCCCAGCACAGTTAGAAGCGCTAGAGTCGACGTCACAAGCGTAGAGATAACAGACTTCTCTTCCATCCTTATTATTTGTTTTAATGAGGGTAGAAGTGTCTACTGACTAATCTTAAAATATTGGGCAAACTTTTGAAATGATTTATAGCAATATAGAAAATAACGCATAAAATAAAATTAAGTAAAATGTAACACTTAGCTCTTCAGAAACTTTATATATTAACAAAATCGTAACATCTATAATAAACAAAAGTTGCAATTTCTAAAGACCCTTAAGATGTGAAGTTTGCCTCGTACGCGAATAACAGAATCAAGGTTCAAGTCCCACAAAACTTCATGTATTGGTAGGCTCAGTTTTTAAAGTCAGACCGTGCATATTTGCAACATCGTCCTTCAAAATAGTCTTGATAAGTTTGTGTTGTTGAAGAGGTCGCAGACCGTTGAAATTCTCCGCTTGCACGTAAATCTGAGGCAGTAAGTGAAATTGAATGCTGAAAAGAAAGCAAATCAAGGATATTAAAAATCGTGAACCATGTCGAGGAAATGAAATGTCAAGATGTTGGAAATTCATTTTGACTTACTTGGAACATAGCCCCACAACCTCCGCTTATATCTTGCACATTGATAGACTTTACTTTTAGAGACAGCTCAAGCTTTTCTTTGATGCTTTGCTCGGTCGGAGCAGGAGCAGTGGACATAAACCGACATATTTGAGGGGCGAAGATTCGCTGTCGCAGTAAAAGTCGTAACATTGTAATAACTGGGGAGTGTTAATAGGCAGTTAGATTATACTGTGAAACAGATGAAAGAATATTAAAATTGTTTTAACTTTCTAATTTGTTAGGAAATAAAGCGCTATATTGTAGTTACGGGATATTCTTCAAAATAAGCAGATTAGATTAAGAATTATGACACGAACATCATCACAAGTTTTAAACATTCTTTCTTATTTTTTCCTTATCAGCAGAGGAAATGAATTATTCGGTTCATGCAGGAGGGAAAATTAGCAGGAAACAGCAGAGTTCATAAACGATTTATTCGGCTTGATTAACTTTAACTGCAATATGTCACAAAAGGTGAATTCCTGCAGTTCATTCTGTTCTACATTCTAGGAAATGTAAAAACATGAACCCGCGCGCGGATGCGCGCACGTCACTGAAGTCACGTGATAAAATTTTGAGCAATGATTCTTTTCGTAGTTAAAATGATTTAGCGCCGTACGCAAACCGAATGCGCGCGTAAATTTGCCACTTTTTGCACGTTTTACACAAGAGTCAAGAATGCTACTTTAGCAAAATACAATACGAATCGGAAAATTCAATGATATATTTTCACAACCACAACTAAAAATATCAAATATGCATCACTAATTAAATTTGAATAAACAATCACTGTCATAAAATGTTTCACTTCTGTCATAAGACATAACCACAACATAAATAAAATACTGTTATCCAAAACTTTAAAAACTTACAAAACTTTGCTGATAAAATCAAACAATGCCCCGCCTTTACCCGAACCCCTTATTTCACAGTAATCTAGAATAGCTTGCACGACTAATCCAACAGTTAGCGATTTCTCACTAAGATAACGAACAACGGAATCCAACCCCTGACAGTTCCTGTCATTGAATGTGTAGTACCTGACCCCTCTACCAGCAGCGCTGGCAGCACACCATTGCAACAGCGACTTCAGCTGAATGTTACCTCCAAACGCTCCACATCCCCAATTACCTGTAGCCACATCAGACTCTTTGGTTGGGAACTCGTGATCAAATCCAACTAGTGCTTTGTTGAGTTCCCGCAATAACTTTTTTTGTGAATATTGCTGATCAGATCCCGTCCCCCGCCCATAACAGGTCGCATCAATAGCTACCCTGCACACCCCTGAATCTGTCTCAACATAATCTCCGGCAAACTGTAACCCCGTGTTGTAACCTGAATATTCAGCTATCCTTTCAGCGTTGACAAGAACCAGGGCTTCGTCATCAGCCATGACACTGCAGAACATAAGGGACACTAGCAACTCGGGACACGCACTGAACATTATCTCCTCTTGTACTGCGCCCATGTGCAATACTCCCCCTCCGATATACTCATTAGCAAAGTCCACATGCAGCACATTACACCCATTACTCTCAGTTATACCACCCTCGTTACAAACTGTGAACTCAGTGAGGGGCGAACTGTTCTTAACCCAGCTAGCAAGGGAGGGCCGCTTTGTTAACTTTATGCGGTGTATTTCAAACTTATCATCTTTTATCTCTAGTCTAGAGCGTTCGAAGTAGTTCATCAACATAAACAGTTTAGCTTTGCTGCTGTAGCTCGGTGACTGAAGCCACGAGTCGAAGTTAACAAGAGTCTGGTAGTTATCGGCCGGTAAAGGTTGGCAGTCAGCAGTGTTTGCACAGAAAAAAGCAGCGGCTAGAAGAGATGCACATTGGTGTTTAGTCAGGGACAAGTTACTGGCACTAACACCGTCAACAAGCGGGATTTCTTCAGCGAATAAAACTGGTAACTCTACGAGTAATTTGACGATGTGAGGCAATGTCTTCTTCATAAACCAAAACACTATTTTAGGAAATTCCTGATCTCTACCCCGAAATAAGTTCCACCCCAGGCTAACCCTTCATCTCCTTCAAATTGCTCACTCTCTTTAAATAGCTCAAGTAATCTCTGATACCGACTTTCAGGAGTTGGTTTAAGTGGAGTGTCCCTCTGGAGTTGCTTAATATGGTGTAACTCTTGTGCTAGAATAAGCGGTGACCATGCTGTAACGCTTTGAATGCTTTCTGTTACTTCTTTCCAGTAAGTAGTGTCACTGAAATATGGGAATATGGCGTGTTTGGATGACTTGCGGGACCCACCTGTCATTTGCAGCCTCTGCGTGGAGTGTTGTGTTATTTTTATTTGGTAACAATCCAAAAGATTGAACTACTAATTAGTGTAAAAATCTCTACATATTATATACTATATACTTATATAGCTATATTACTATAATTATACTCATTGTATCATGTTAAATATAGATAATGATTTGCTAAATGAAACAAAAGGAATGCATGTTATGTACAAATCTTAGTAATAAGTTACGGAATCCATCAATAAATGATAACAAAACCGCTTTCAAAACAGGAGATAACGTGCCGTGTCACTTACTTTATCTGTTAAAGTATTTAGCATGTTTCACTGTTCACATACCATACTGGTATTAACAGTGACCTCATATTAGCTGCTCATCGAGTCTCTACATTCATTAGAACTAAATGCTTGTACCTACTCCAGTCCAAAATTAACTGTAACTTCGCGTTATAAACCCGGATCATATTAGAAAAATCAATAATTTAATGAGTTAAGTTACAAAAGTAAGTTGAGTGGTTTCTCAAGGTAGCCCTTGAAGGAGTCGAGCCACTGCGAACCAACCGCACCGTCCACTACGCGGTGATCACAGCTCAGGGAGACGTTCATCACTGTCTTTATTTCGAACCTGGGAATAGTGGGTCTTTTTAACACGCCCCTTTCAATAATTAACTCATTGTATACGTCATAGGTATCTGATTAATGATTATCACATTCATCGATACATAATTTAATAAGCACGACAACAAGGTTTTCAATTAGTCACCACATTTCGCTAATATTTGCATATCAGTTCAGTAATTAATTAACTTATTAACCAATTAACTAATTAATTAATTAATTAATTAATTAATTAACTAATTAACAGTAACGTACCCTTTCTCATTGTCAGCAGGGACCATCTTCTTCTGGGGGGCTCCCACAGCTAGAATACAGCTCTGTGGCGGGTTTATAACAGCAGTGAAGTGCTGGATTCCCATCATACCCAGGTTAGAGATTGTGAAGGTGCCTCCCTGACGAGTATTACATATTATTACACATAATGTTACATATTATACAACATTATAACATTAACAATAGATTTAGCAACTCCCTGACGAGTATTACATAATATTACACAACATTATAACATTAACAATAGATTTAGCAACTCCCTGACGAGTATTACATAATATTATACAACATTATAACATTAACAATAGATTTAGCAACTCCCTGACGAGTATTACATAATATTATACAACATTATAACATTAACAATAGATTTAGCAACTCCCTGACGAGTATTACATATTATTACACATAATGTTACATATTATACAACATTATAATAAATAAATAAATAAATTCTAACATTTATTACACGCTTCGACATTAAAATATACCCAACAAAGATGTACATTAAAGTCATTCAAGCGAGACTTAGTGTTGAAATAGCAAGATTATGGACTTTTTAAACAGTTCAGAATTTATGAACAAATATTTGTATGAAGTTATATTTGTATGAAGTTACTAAAATTATGCACTTTCATATCAGTTCAGACATTATGGACAAATATTAGAAATATTATCAAAAGCTAGTTGGAAATAAAACGTCTTTAGGGCATTTTTAAAACATTCTACAGATGATAATGATCTCACTGAGTAGGGTAGTTCATTCCAAATTTTTGGTCCACAAAACATAAATGCAGCATCTGTTCGTCTGAAATGAGGAGCAGGAGGAACTTTCAACAAATAAAAGTCATCATCTAGTCTGGAACTTTGTCTTCGTACTTCCCTTAGATTGACGTGTCCTTGTAAGTACTGAGGGGCTATGTTATTAAGACACTTGAAGACCAGAAGTGATATTTTGAACTTAATTCTGAACCGAACAGGCAGAAAGTGGAGCTTTTTGAGGTAAGGCATGATAGGTTCACGTATCTTTTTTCCGTAAAGACCAAAGATAAATCTAGCAGCATTGTTCTGTATCTTTTGTAGCTTATGAAGATTCTTTTCTGTTATACCATAATAGACTGAGTTGCAGTAGTCTATGAAACAGAGAATATTGGAGTGAACTAACTGAACTTTTAGTTCATGGGAAAGCTTTGAACCGATTCTTGATAAGTCCCTTTGATTCAAATAACATACTTTGGACACAGCATTTATTTGAGAGTCCAGATTCATTTGGTGATCGAAAAGGAATCCCAGGTTCTTGGCCTTGCTAACAGGGCAGATTGAGAGGTCTCCTAAATCCATTGTCTGGATTGGGCTGACATATGGTCCTATATCAATGAACTCTGTTTTTTCATCATTCAGTTTTAGGAAGTTAACTGTCATCCATTGCTTTATCTCCAGAAAGCAATTTTTCACAGCTGTTAAATCAGGATTAGAACTGTGAACATCAAAAGTAAAGTACACCTGTGTGTCATCTGCATACAAATGTATCGAGAAACCATATTTTGTGACAATTTCTTCAAGATCTCTGGTATACAATATGAACAGTAGTGGTCCTAAAATGGATCCTTGAGGTACACCAATATCCAGATAGCCTTCAGAAGATGTGGCTTTTTTTACTTTAACCTTGAATGTGCGATTATTAAGGTAACATTGTAACCAGCTGAGTGCTAGTTCTGTAATACCATTCGCATTCTTGAGTTTCGTAAGAAGGAGGTTATGGTTTATGGTGTCGAAAGCAGCTGATAGATCTAAGAGTAGAAGCACAACATTCGATTTGCTGTCAATCATCATTAGAATATCATTATGTATTTTGGTAACTGCAGTTTCACAACTATGGAATTTTCTATAGCCTGATTGATATGGGGAAAACAGGTTGTTGACATCAGCATATTCATTTAATTGGCAATGAACTACTTTTTCTAGTATTTTGGACAGATATGTTAGATTGCTAATCGGTCGATAGTTTTTCAGCTCATCAACATCTAAGGTAGGTTTCTTGAGTCCAGGCCTAATAGATGCTTCTTTTAGGGCAGATGGAAACTTTCCGACTCTTAGTGATTCATTCACGATGTAATGGATGATTGGGAGAAGCTCGGGTAAGCAGTTCTTGAAGAGCCACATTGGTATGACATCGAGTACGCTTGATTTATTGGGAAGACTCTTAATTAAGGTTTCAAGGTCTGATAATGAGACTTCCTTAAACTGATTAAGTCTACACTTTGCATTATCTATCGAAGTAGAGTCCTTGGTACCTTGACCGTTTAGGGAAGTGTTTTGAATTTCCTTCTCAATATTAGAGTAAATGGTCTTTACTTTTTGATCGAAGAAAGTCTTGAGTTTGGCAGCCACTTCGATATCTTCACCATTTGGCAATTTGTTGGAGCCATATTCCTTATCTAAAAGTTTATTTATGACTTTATAGGTCCCTTTCGAGTCTCCTTTGCAAGAACTGAGCTGTTTATCATAGTAGCCATCCCTAGCTCGATTGATAGTGATTTCTGCGTCAACACATTTTTCAAAATGAGTAGTTTTAAACTCATCATTCTCTGGATACTTTTTGGCTTTTCGTTTTGCCCTTCTCCTCTCTCTGACAGCAATTTGACATTTATTATCCCAAAAATCAGACTTTTCAGCAGTAAATCGTTTCGTAATAAGTGGGGCATGTTTGTCCAGCACCTGTTCAAGGACATTTTGATAAAGGTTCACAGCCTCGTCTAAGGATTGATATTCAGAAAGGTTAAGCTCTGAACAAAACAGATCTTCCCTGAACTTATCGATGTCAATTTTGCTTAGCTCTCTGACATCTTTTTCTTCATATGTACGAGCTTTATGAAGATCGAATGTGACTGGGACCTGAAAACTTACTAGATAGTGATCAGAGCTGGTTCCAGTGCTTGTCTCTACCATCATATCTGTTACAGACAATGAGTCACTTACACAGCCTAGAGTAAATAACAAGTCCAGTGTCCCGCCGGAGATGTGAGTAGGAGAGTCGACATGCTGAAGGAAGCCTTTGCTCTCACAAAGAGCAATAAAGTTCTGGGCAATATTATTGTATATGTCTTCAACATGGAAATTAAAGTCACCACAAATAATTGGAGATCCAGTTTTAAGCAGAAGATTGTCCAGGTATCCAACAAAGTCATCCATAAACTTAGATATTTTTGTTTCATCGTATTTCGCTTTGGCCTGAGTGCTGCGATAAACTACACATAGCCTGATAATCTCACCAGCAGTTTTAATGACACATTCAAGTACTTCAAAAGATGAATATTTAGTAACATCATTGCGTACAGGCGATATCATTTTGGGGTTGAAGAGAAAACCAACTCCACCTCCCCTACCTCTTCGAGGGGCACTGATAATATCGAACCCAAAATCACGGATTTCGGCAAATTTTGCCCGATCATTAGTTTTTAGCCAAGTTTCCGTGATACAACAGATAGAAATCGAGTTATCCTTAAGCATTTCTAGTACGCCACAAGTTTTGTTGCATAGAGACCTTGCGTTGAAACAACCAATAGAAAGCTGTGATTTCTGTCGATTAGCACCTAATTTCACATTACGTTTTTTGAAATAAAGTCAGTGTTAGCAGCAATACGTTTAGTTTCTCTTACCAACACAGGACAATCGTAAGCTGCCGCATTATGTGTTCTTGAATTCTCGGCATCATTAGTGTGTGTTGAAGCCAAACATCGAGCACAGGCATGTTTGTCCTTCTTCTGCTTAAATTGGCATGCTGAAGACCGGTGACTTCCCATACAGTACATGCAGGTCGGATGTTTATTTGTTTTGACTTCATTACAGTCAACAGAAGTGTGTCCAATCATTTGACAATGATAACACTGTTTGATGTAGAAGCGATCAGTTACTTTGTATCTGCGACTACCTAAATAGAGAGATCCTTGTTGTTGGTTAAAGAGGACTCTATAGACAGATGGTGATAGTTTGATTCCAATAGTGAGCTCTATGCGTTCCTGTTTATCGTTGGTGAAACGTTTTATCTTATTGAGATAGACAATACTGATGGTGTGCCCTGCTTCATACAAATCTTTGATGGACGAGTTTTTCTCCACAATTTGGGCGACTAAGTGGTTCTTTTCAAGATCCCTAAGTTTATCGGCATCATTCCCTACAGCTGTAGTGTCTATATCGTCAAGAACTTCAGAAGAAACACCATAAATAGTAACTTTTGGCAGCATTTTGTTGCCATTCTTAGACTGATATCCATACGAATCTAAGGTATTTCCATCATTGAGAAGTGAAGTAGCCTTATCACGAATTTCAGCATTAGGGAAGCCAATTGAAACTTTCTTGTTGTTTTCATTACATCTGAGAAATACTACTTGACTGCTCTTTAATTTATCAGTAGCAAATTTTTTCACATTCGTCATTGTTGCAGCATTTACCGATTGTTCTTCTTTCGGGGACAGAATTAGAATCTCGGGTGATGAAGGTTGTGTACGTGTTGGAGCAATTGGAACATGTGGTGGTTGAGCAGATGGTGTGGAACTGTTTGAGTCGGTAAACAAGCTGGAATAGAGAACGTCCTTTGTATGAGAAACAGTACCGGATTTTGTTACAACAGTGTTTACTTTATTGTCAATAACATCATTGATATTTTTCGTGAGGTCTTCTTTTAAAGATGAAAACTGTTCAGCAAATTGTTTCATAAAATCAACCTGATCTGAGGATCGCTCTTGAGCTCTCTCAGGTTTCTGGGACAGTTGTTCCTTCAGCAAGGTTTTAAGTTCAGACATCTCTTCCCTGAACTCCAAATTTATGGCATCTATTTTATTATCTAACAATCCTACTCGATCTACGGTAGTAGCAGCCCTCTTGTCCTCCTCAGCAGTACTACAATCATTACAGATAAATAGAAAGCGACCAAATCGTTTAGCATAAGAAGAAGTGTTGTTCACAGCATGAGACAGGTGAGCAGTAAAAACCGTGGGCGCACTGACATTGCAAGTTTCATCACAGTTGATAGCATGAAAACTGTCCTTACACCAAAAACACTGTACAATGTCGGTACTTTTGACAACCTCATCATTCGAACAAGCTTTACATAAACCGT